AACATTTTTTTTTTAAAAAAAGAACTATTTTAAGCAAGGAATAAAACTGAATTAGTAGTATCAGCCATCCGTGACATTGCTGATCTCACAGTATCTAAAAAAGACTTTTCATCTTTTGAAGAAATTGATATATTATTGATATAGTGTTGATTTAGCTTCCACAAGCATTACATTATAGTTCTGTGGGAAGGAGAAAGAAACTAAATAAAGCATAGTACATTGAAATATTGATTTGTAGATCTCACTTCATTGGACTCTGCAATTAATGCAATGAGTTTCTGCTTCACAAGATTTATATATACTAATATTGTTACACAAGCATCATATGTACCATTGTTACTTCATTTGCATAAGGATATCATTACTCATTGATGTGAGTTCTTCATAATGATGTAATCATGCAAATGACAGAAATTGTTATAATAACCGTATGCAATGATATTTGTGAATAATAGCACACCTCCCCCCAATAATCCATTTAAATAAAGTTTCACTCTAGTCTAAATCCTCTGAATGTAAACCCTGAGGAGAAGTTGCTCTCTATCTTCCCTCTTTCCTCAGAATCATTCCTGAAAACTTTAAAAAAAAAAAAAAGAAGGGGGGGGGAATTGGCTCTTCCTTGTACTACTTTTTTTTTTTTATTGAAAAGTTTTACAAAAAGTTTACATATTTCTCCCCCCCTTCCCTACCTCAACCTCCCCCCTCCCCCCCTCCCCTTCCCAGAACAAATTACAGGGTATAAACTTCAACAATCATAATCAATCCTAATCTAAACAATTATGACATTTCACATCTCTTGTTTCTTCAATTCCCTAATTACCCGCCTAGCTTTATTACTTAAAGACACACTAAATATCTATATAATCATTCATAACCTATCTGCAATTTCTTATTCCGATATTTATTTTGAATATAATCTATCCACCTTCTCCAGTCTCTTAAATATCTTTCATTTGAATGATCCTTCAGGTACGCCGAGATTTTTGCCATTTCCGCTAGATTTATAACTTTCATTGTCCACTCTTGGATTGTAGGTAAACCTTGCTTCTTCCAATATTGTGCCACCAACAGTCTTGCTGCAGTTATTAAATTCAAAATCAATTTAGTCTCTATAACTGTACAATCCGTAACTATACCCAAAAGAAACAGCTGTGGTGTAAATTTCAACCTCTTTTTAAGAATATTTTGTAAAATCCACCAGATTTTAATCCAAAACGCTTTAACCTTTTTACATGTCCACCAAATGTGAAAATAAGTAGCATCCTCACAATTACATCTCCAACATTTTGGTTGTACATTCGGGTACATACGAGATAACTTTTTTGGATCTAGATGCCATCTATAAAACATTTTATAAAAGTTCTCCCTTAAATTTTGCGCTTTGGTATCTTCCTTGTACTACTTAATGGTAATTTGTACCTGTAATATATTCGTTCCTTGTCTGATTAATATTAATCCACAGTTTTCTGGTTGGATTATTTTCCAGTTGAAATTCTTGATTTTCCCAAGAAAATTCACTGGTCAAGAGTAACACTGAGGTGTTATAAGACATGTAGCAGAGTGATATTTTTCTGTGAGTGTTTTCTGTATAAACACTCACAGTTCTGATGAAGAGAAATAGAATTAGCAATAGTCCAGTTGATAACAAGAGAAGTGAGACTTTTGTGCTAACTTTCACATGCACACATCCAGCTTTATTTTCAATATTTCCAAGAGCCTTCTAAAAAAATTCTTCCTAGGTACATTTCACCTCAGTGAATCATTTCCCCAAGCATTTACTGTGTGCCCATGCCAGCATTTTTCTACTGAAAACAGAAGCTGATTCCGATGACTCAGACATGGTGTGTGGGGGGGGGGTTCTCCCTGTTTTGTATAGGTCAGCATCAGAGAAAACGCAGCAAAACTGTTTAACTAGACATAGGAATATCTCCAAAATGAAAAATGCTTTTGTTTCAAACCAAGAATAAACTGTAATGATCTGGAAACTTTCTGAAACAATTTTGGATTTAGTAAAAGTGAAACCAGTTAAATTTGGTTGTTTTGGGTTTGGATGGAACCACATCTACAAAGAAAGGCGGGCAAGGTTACTGCATGTGGATCCTCTCTCTCTTTCACCCCTCAATAGCTGCTAGCGTGCATTTTCATCAGCCCAATTTTACCCAATCTTCCCAGCATGGCCTCTCTCCTCCCTTCCCTCTCAGATGCTTCCAAACATCTCCTTTCAACCATAGCCAACATGACGTATAGCTTTGAGGGAATCGGAAATACACAACAGTTGGAAGGAATTGGGTGTTATTTCAAGATATATACAAGAATTTATAAGTTTACATCTCTGAAAAGGCTAATATAGCATCAGTCTTTCAGATTTTTTTAAAAAGTATTTTGATCTAACAGCAGATTGAGCTAGCTACCTTGAAACATTCTCTTGGCTAAATCAGGAACCAAATATTATTTCTTTGGGAAGAAGACATGTAGTTTCTTTCTTTCCACGAAATGACCTAAGTATGCTATGGGCAATTTAGCAGGCTTCACCATAGATTTAAATATTCTCTGGCTATATAAACTCCCACAATTTTGGGATCTGAACAATCAAGTCCAACAAGGTTGTCCACTGTTTATATTCTCGCTATTACATATGTTATTCCATCTCTTTTGTAATAATCTCAGTAGCATATTTAAATCACCTAAACTAAGACATTCATGCATGGGGGGGGGCATGTATATAGGTTTGTAAGGAAAGAACATGTTGCATTCACGTCTGCTGCTTCTGTGTATTGGAGAGGACAAATCAATAAGACATTTACACAGATTTTTTTCAATCATTTGCAGAGAACTTCTGTTCAAGAACCATTTGTTGCAAGTAATAAACTGAATATAAACAGGCCATTGAGGTTATCAAGACCAACTTCCTGCTTTAGAACAGGAATCAAATTAGAGCATCCCCAACAGATATCCAGGTTCCATTTGTCCATTTCTGGTAAAGGGGATTTTACTGCTTCTCTTGTGCCAAAAAAACCCTCTTATCATTAAGTGCGGCACCTGTGTAAATGGAGGTGTTTATCACTGATGGTTGTTTTGGGATGCCCAAGCCATCTCTTGGACAGAGGCCTACTTTTCTTTAAAACAGAACCTAGAGAACTGCAATCAGCCATCATAGCTGCTTAGCTTTGTATTATAATCCAGTTTTGGAATGCTCCTCTGTGTTGGATGTAATGGGAACTTTCACATGCAGAAAATGAGAATGTCACAAAGAAAAAAAATCTTTCCACAAGAGTTTTGTACATAGTCACAGTCTGAAGTGTTAAAGATTTATTACTGTCTGAACTTTATGCAATGCCTTTGCATTATCGGCTTGATTTACTGGGAACTCCTGCAAAAATCTGCAGAAGATCTCAAGGCATTCCACCTCAGCAATATTCCCTAACCATCCCCCTTCTACATGTGGTTAAATAGAGCTCTCAAAGAATGGCTAAGACGCCCACCTCTGGACAAAAGGTTCCCTGTGTCTAATTTCTTAGTCACTTTCAGAAATGGCTTCTTAACTGCTTTTCAGCTATTAGAAACCTTTGGATCATCAGTTTGTAGAGCACCAGGTGAATTTTTTTCAATCCTTAGCAGAATAAGTTTAAATACAACTTTAGGGACTTTAAAAAATAAACTTTTTGTATAAGCAGCAAAAGGATGATTAGAATATTGATTTTGGGACGTTTCAATTTAATAATAATAATGAATAAAATAAATAAATTAATAATAATAATAATAATAATAATAATAATAATAATAATAATAATAAATAATTAAATTAAATTTGATCTACAAATACAGAATGCAGAAAAATAGCTTAATATTGGATATATTGAGGGATATTTGTGAACAGTGGAGCCAGAAGTTTAAGCGTGTCTGCCATTGTAGAGAGACTGTATTTAAAAGATACTATGGAACAGGAACAAGTTCTACTGGACAAGACTGAGATTGATTTGAAAATGAAATTAAAGATGAAAGGCTACAAGAATTATATGGGAAAAGATCCTATACAGAATATACAAATGAAACTGACTAATGTCTTAATAGTTAAAGTGAATACAGTATATAAATAACAAATCAAAACAGTGACTGGATAACTTTTTTATATTGGGTTTACTAAATAAACTTGTCAAAAGTTTGAAGGATTTGGTGAGACAGGACAAAGGAAAAAAGAAAAAATCAAGTTATAGGACATTATTTCAAGGGATTAAAGATCAAGGTTGTTAAAAGGGAATATAAAGTTTATCTCATCAAAATTCAAACAAGTATGCTATTAGCTCTGATGACCTTTAATGAGCTTTTGTTTACCAAGACTAAATGATACGACTTTATTGTTTTGTTTATAGATAAGAGATGAGATATGGGGAAGAAGAGATCATTTGTTGCATTTTAAGAAAAAATGATGTTACCAAAATTGTTTATTCTTGTGATGAAGGGGGAAAACATTTATTTATATATTTTTTAATTTTATATTTATTTATTATTTATTTTCTTTTTATATTTTTATTTGTTCTCTTCACTTATTTTTTTTATTCTTTTGATTTTTAGTTTGTATTGATTTTTATCTTTTTAATTGTCATGTTTAATACAATTATTATAAAAAACAGCACGACAGAAGACTTAATTAACATTAAATATATTCTCCCTCATTGTAACATTTTATATAGAAATGAAATAAAATGCAGCATTCTGAAACTTTCAAAACTTAAATTTCAACCATAATTTGACTGAATCAGAATCCTCTTCATCCTGGGAACTGAACCCAACCTTTCCATTCTGGAAATTGAAAAAGCAATCTATAATCACTTCAGGATTCAAGTTCTGGTGAAATATGAAATACAGTCCTACTAAAATCGCTGAAGATTTTGAATCTGCTATTTGAGATTTATCTCACTTCAAGATTAAGATAAATGGTCTTTCTATGCTGGAATGATAATAATTTCTGACCGTAACTCATTTTTTATTTTTACATGCAGTCAGTGATTCTGATTGTTATGTGACCTTGTGGCTTCCTACTTCCTCACTGGAAAAATATCGAACCAAAACAGTTACAAACTGCAAAGATCCAATATGGAATGAAATATTCTATTTCAGGATCCAGAGTCAAGTCAAGGTAAGATGAAATGTGTCAATATTTCTGCCCCTCTAAATGAGCTTTTATAATAGCATTTGATAATAGATAATAGTATTTGTTTATTGTTGTACTATCTGAACTTTATTTCTCATCCAATTCTTTCTCTCAGTCTCATTTATTTTATATTATATAATTAGTCAATGTTTAGGTAATCCTTCCAATCCAATGAGCTTTTACATAGAACGATGCTTCCGTTGTATAGCAAGATTTTATATATATATTATTTTATTTATTTTTATTCATTTAAAATCTTTGATTTTATATATATTATTTTGTTACTCTCACTACTCTGAGTAAGTCTACAATTTGGTCTCACAGTATTTACCCCACACTAGTTTCCTTTGGAAGGGCATTGCTAGAGGATGGCATTTTCTTACCATTTCCTCTTCTTATATCTTCATTTTTGCCATTTTCAATATTGGACTTCCACACCCATTTCCATCAGTCAGCTGTTATTATGCTGGTTAAAGAATTAAAGGACCAGCCAAAAATCTTGGAGAAATTGGCTGTGTAAATATTTTTTTACAAAGCTCCTATATTTCAGATTTCTAGGTAAATAACTAATAACTCAGGATGCTTCCAGGGCCTAGAATTTGATATTCCCTTTTCCCAAAGTGCCGTTTTTATGAAAACTAACCAACCACAAAGGCTTGGACTAGGATAAAGGACACTGGGGAGGAAGAAAAGGAACACATGAGTGGGAGAGGGAGGGAGGGAGGGAGGGAGGGAAGAAGAGAGAGAGAGAGAGAGAGAGAGAGAGAGAGAGAGAGAGAGAGAGAGTACAGTGTTACTCTCATTTCTCTGAGTGAGTGTATGATTTGGACTTACAGTATTTTGCCACCTAAGGCAGAACAAAATAAACATTTGCCTTTTCCCTGTTCTGGGAAGTGATGCTGTACTTGAATCATAACAGAATTCATTTCTGTCTTCAGAATGTTTTGGAACTGACAATATGTGATGAAGATTTCTATCGAAATGACGACAACCGAGTTATTTACTTTGATGTAGCTAAAATCCCACTTGGAGAATCAATAATGGTCAAATTTGAATTGGATCACCTGGTGAGTGTGAATAAATTCAAATGCTTTCTGTTGGATGGTAATTATGGAAAATCAAGTCAGGCATCGAGATATGGAAGGCTGATCTAGACTAGATATAATAAAGATATACTGTCTCTTTTATGAGAAACTACTGAATGACTAAAATAGTTTAGTTACAAGGAACACACACACACACACACACACATTGATACCTTGGTACTCATCCGTAATTGGTTCTTGGAGGAGCAATGAGTACCAAAAACAATGAGTACCAAACAAATTTTTCACATAAAAAATAATCTCTCTCTCTCTCTCTCTCTCTCTCTCTCTCTCTCTCTCTCTCTCTCTCCCTCTCCCTCCCTCCCTCCCTCCCTCTTTCTTTCTCATCCTTTCTTGAGTAAGAGCCACTATATTTCCATAGAAAGTAAACAGATGCCTTTGTATCTGCTTTCTGTTTAATTCTGTAACTACAGAAGGAGAGAGATAAACTGAATCAGAAACATAATGAGAGAACATAGAAGTAACCTGGACTTCTTAACCAAACCCAATCCAGACTATATTGTTATCATGTGCAATAGTGGCAAATATCCCTGTATCTACTTTGTCATACTTTAGCCTTGAAAAGGCAGAAATATTCTAAAGATCAACACTGAATCTCTCTTTCAACTTTCTATCTATATAGAATGCAAGATAACCATTTGCTTTTTCCCCATTCTGTGATATGGTACTTTAGTCAGAATTCATTTATATCTCCAGAATCTCTTGGAACTGACAATATGCAATACATTCTACAGAAATATAGTGCTACTATTACCTCAAGAAATAATATAATTAAAGAGGAAATAAAAGGAAAAAAGAATAACTGTTATATATGGACTCACAAAACCTTTATGGACAGTCTTATCGGCAGACTCACATATAAACACACATTTTCTTTTCATATACTGACTCAGCTTTCTTTGTTTTCCATTCCCCTCCCTCTCATCCACACCCATGGGATTTTGGGGTTTTTTGGAGGGGGGTCTGGTTAAAGGAGTATTGGCTGTCCTTGCAACCAATCTTAAAAAGTTTCACTGGCAGCTTCCAAGAGGAAAAAGAAAGCTTGTCTGAAGGCTCCATTTTTTTTAATTTATTTATTTCCTTCTTTCCTTCCTTCCTTCCTTCCTTCCTTCCTTCCTTCCTTGCTTCCTTCCTACCTACCTCCCTTCCTAACCAAACCATCCTATCTCACCCTATGTATATAGACTTCTTTCAGGGCAGCTTCCTCAGTCTCACACCTACATGCCCTGATACTACCTTCAAGTTCAATTGCTGCCTCTATAGATTTTTACTATAGGGGATGCAATATCCAGTTTGGTTGATGTGTCCGTAGACTTTTAGCCACTCTATTAAGGCAGAATGTTGCCCAGGGTAAGCCATTATGGAGGAGTCTATACTTCATACCCCATCATAACATCTGTTTGGTTGTGGTTTAATAACCACAACCAAACAGATTACATAGATGCAACAAAACCACTTCCAGGAATGTAGTTACCCCAGAAAATATGGAGCCACCTGAATAGAATCAAGACAGACCATGTGGGGAATGGCCAAGAGCCTGCAATGCCACTGTGATGCATTGGAAAAAACTATAACAAACTATAAGACATATAATAAATTCAAGAATATCTCCTCAGGAAATTTCAAGGCACCTGTCCACATCCTCAGCAGAAACAATTAGATAGTTGGCTTCCTTAGGTATCAAATTATAACATCTATTCCTTTGCAATTCTATGGCTCCATATTATGGTGATTTTATTATAGCTTTATATTAATCTATAGCAGTGTCCACATATCATGGAGAGAGAGCAAGAGAGAGAAAGATTTCTGATGCTTTATTTAAACTAAATTTGTATATCAGTGAATGCATGATCTCTGTAGATGTCATGTGCTAAATAAATAAAAAATTCCAGTCTTGTATTTGAATAGAAAACATCTGGACAAGCATCTCAACAAAAAGATGCAGAGTTACTGTCTCTCTTGGTTCCTCTCTAGTGATTTTCAGGGCTTTGTAGGCCAGTAGAGTGGGCAAAAAAGTCCCCCAAAACCTGAACCTTTTGAGGAGATACGAGACCATGTAAAACATCTGGATTGTCTGGCATAATTCTAAATGCCTAAATATCTATCGAGATTCTCAGTCATCCAGATCATGGTTGTCCCAAAGGTGTTTTTTGAAGAGGCAACTGGACTTTCTGTTTTTTCTTTGAAGCCGAAGAAGCTTCTTGGATGAGAAGTGGAACCTCTTCAAAGAAAAACATAAAGTCCAGTTGCCTCTTGAAAAAAGCAACTTTGGGACTTCTAAATGTCTACTCACTCTATGTAATTGAATGCTATATTATATAGGTTTTTGGACTGGTCCGGAAAGATTCTTCCACTCTGACTCAATCTGCAAAAGCACAATGTCTACTTTGACCTTAAGTTTTAAAAGAGGGTTGTTTTTTTTTAATTTTTCTATGAAAACCACAATATCAACCAAAGTTTTTGTTACATTTTGACTGAAATTTAATCAAGACCAGAATCTGTTGTTTTAAGAACTGGATTTAATTACTTCAGGCTATTAGATTACAGCAAATAATTAGTTTGAATATTGAATTTTGCAAAACAGTTGATCTAATTATTAGTAAACTGTTAACTGTGCAGATAAGGGAAACAATAATGTTGTTCTAAAGAAGAGTAATTGAATGTACTTGTGTACATTCATGTGTCTTTTGAAGCGAACATGTCTTTCTACTGAAAGAAAATGGGACTTGAGAAAAATTCTCATGTGATAGCTGAAGGGAGGTTACTGGTTACTTGCCAAATGTCTGTCATACGCGTTACATTTTAATTTTCAGAAAAATGAAGAAATGGAAGTTGAATTTACTTTGGAGAATATGTGAGTAACCCAAATAACATTGAAATAAATTATTGGAAAGTCCATAACAATACAAATGCAATATTGTATAAATAGCAGAGCGACTCATTTTTTTTCACTTGCTGTCCATAAAAAAATCAAAATCATGTCATTCAAATAATAGCTCTTCTCTGGCCTAATAAGCAAAGAAATTAAAACAATTGTCATGGAGTGAAGTAATTATTTCTTGCATAACAACTGCATGAGTCTCAATTCAAATCCAATTTTTAGAAGTTAACTTTCTCTATTATGGTTCCTGCAAATTGGGGAGGAAATCAGAAAACAATCTTGTTAAAGTTTGCTTGCTTGCTTTCAGCTCTTCTACAGACCTTAAAGAGCAGCAACCATGCAACAGCATGAGCTATTATTATTATTAATTAATTAATTAATTAATTAAATTTTTATACCGCTCTTCTCCCGAAGGACTCAGGGCAGTGAACAGCCAGGATTAAAATACATACAATACAAAAATTAAAATAGTTTAAAAATAATTAAATCAGTTTGGCTTCCCCAATTTAAAACCCCTTACCTATAAAATTATCCCATTAAAAATATTCAGCACCCAGCAAAAAGTATGGAGGTCCGGGATCAGTCGTACCCCTGGAGGTAGCTCATTCCAGAGGGCGGGTGCCCCCACAGAGAAGGCTCTCCCCCTGGGGGTCACCAGTCGACTGACGGCACCCTGAGGAGACCCTCGCTGTGGGAGCGTATTGGCCGGTGGGAGGTTATCGGTGGCAGAAGGTGGTCTTGTAGATACCCAGGTCCTAAGCCATGGAGCGCTTTAAAGATGAGAACCAATACCTTGAAGCACACTCGGAAGATCACCGAAAGCCAGTGCAGCTCATGCAGGAGAGGTGCTACATGGGAGGCCATGCCGCCCCCATAATCACCCGCACAGCTGCATTCTGGACCAGTTGGAGCCTCCGGGTGCTCCTCAAGGGGAGCCCCAAGTAGTCCAAGCGGGAAGTAACAAGGGCATGAGTGACCGTGCATAAGGAGTCCCGATCCAGCAAGGGGCACAACTGGCATATCAGGCGAACCTGATAAAAAGCCCCCCTGGCCACATCATATGCTCTTCTATAGACAGCCGTGTATCCAGGAGGATGCCCAAGTTACAAGCCCTCAGCGATGGCACCAGCTGGCTATATAGGGATGCCAGCAACCACAGCCACTCGGTCTTGGAGGGGTTGAGTCGGAGCCTGTCCCTCCCCATCCAGACCCGCACGGCCTCCAGGCACCAGGACATCACTTCAAGGGCATCATTGGGGTGGTCTGGGGTGGAGATGTACATTGGATCACAAGTTGTCCATCTCCTACAATATTTAATGTCTCATCTCACTAATGCCTCTGGAAGATTCAGATACTCAAGAGTATTCTAAAATTTAGTAAGGGAGGAGCAATCCTTGTATCTTGGATCAATAAAGGGGTCATCACCAAGAAGCCTTGAGTACAAGATCCCTGAAGATATTTTCTTGACAGAAGAATACTTAGCAAGCCTTCTTGCCCTGAATTCATTGGATAAGTATATTCCACACAAAGCAAGTGATGTCAGAGTTATCCAAGACCTAACCTATGCAGAATTTTAAAGGAGACAACCAGCACCTTGAATAGCATCTGGAAGTTAACTGGCAGCCATTGACGTTCCTGCTAAAAATATGCACATGGACAAACCTCAGCACACCCATAACTACCCAGGCTGTCACACCCTAGACCAGCTGCAGCCTCAAAATAGCTTTCAATGACAGCCTCAGATATGGAGGATTACAATAATTCAGATGGAAAATGATAAAAGCAGGAACTGTCAGCATTTTTTTCTGTGGCAGCTAGTGCACCTGATATAATTATATTAAACCTCTTGATCACACCTCCACCTGTTGTTCTTGTCAATGAGGATTCTCAAACCATGAATGATGTCCATCCAGAGGAGTGCAAACAGTGGTGGGTTGCTACCGGTTCGCCCCAGATTGGGCGAATCAGTAGTGGCGGCGGGCTCTGCCCACCCACCCGGACATCTCTGCATCATTGCGAGCACGCATGCGCCCACGAGCAAACTGGTAGCGGCCGAAATTGAAACCCACTATTGAGTGCAACCTATCTAAAATGAAAGATGGAGTCAAGAGTCAGTTGGCTTCGGACTTCTGGTTTGGCGTCGTGGCAAGACAGTCGGGGAATTAGCGGGCTCTGATGAGCACCACGAAAACCCCGGCTGATGAACCACTGCTGATGGGTTTTCAGACCGGAACCATCCTGTAGGGACAGGGAAGAAAGAGAGGCACCTCAGATGACCGAGAGGAATAGGCAAGTTCCTCGGAGGTCAGAGGGAACTCTCTGTGAGGCGGCGGCGGGGGGCAGCCGCCATGGCAGCTGCCATGAAGCTGGGCCAACCAGACTAAGTGTAGAGCTGGAGAGAAGAAAGAAATGGAATGGAGTCTTTTTAAAGCCAGGTGAGTGACAGCCAACTCAGGCTTGAATAACAACAAGAGAAACATCTTATAAGACCCCTAATGTGTAATAGCGGCTAAAGAGCACGGGGGCAAAGAAGATTTTGAAATGTAACTTTGAAGAAATAAAAACCCAATGGAAAATTGATTTTTGAATAAGCTATTTGGAAACTTTAAAAAATTAGATATGGTCAAAGGATTGGAAAGAAATAAAGAGACCTTCTTTTCCCTTTTCTTTTTTAAATTGGAAGAAAAACAAAAAGAATGGCTAATAAGCTTTAAAAGGAGAGAAAAAAGGTGATGTATAAATAAAAGGGGGAAAAAGAAAAAAAGAAGTGAGAAGAGCTATTTTAATTTGGACTGGACTTTAAGTGTAATCTGATATTTTTAAACTGAAAAAGAGAAAGAGAAAGAGAAACTAAGTAAGATCATGATGTAATTGCAACAAAATGGATACTTGTTAAGCAATTGGAAATTGTGGATTGCAGAGTGACACCATCTGGAGTAAAAAGGAACATTGCAATTTGGTTCTTTGTTTTGGAAAATTGTGAACTTTACAGATAACAACTGTGAGAATTTGTGGAGGAGGATTTTCTTGTTTACAGAAGGTTTGACTTTTGGAGGAATAAAAAAAAAGAAATAGAAGGGAACACAATGGAACTTGTATAATTGGAATAAATATTTGACTTGGAGAATGGAAATAAGAAAAATAACTATAATGTTGCATAAAGAATAAAAAGTCGAGGATATAAAAATTGAAATGGATATACACGAGCGGACAAGAAAATGAAGATGGAGAAATAAGACATTGAAGTGGAAAATAAAAAAGATAAAGACATTGTGATTAAATGTGAATAAATAATTGAACATGTGAATAGTAATAATAATAAAGGAGGTCTCCAGAGATTATATTGAGATTAACAATAACATAATAATGATTATATTGAGATTAACAATAATACAATGATGATTACATGGAGATTAACAGTGAATGATAAGAGAATAAAAGGTTAGAAAATATTAAGGAAAATAAAAAAGTCCAGGACCTGGATTTATAAAATGACTATACTGAGATTAATAAATATGAGAAGAAATATGTTATAGATATTTAGAAATGAAATAGGAATTGAAGCTAAAATATAGGCAAATTAGACTATATTAAAAGAAAATATAGCAATGGACATAATGAACCAATTTTTTATTAAAATGTTAGAAGGTACTATTTGAAATAATTGATGGTTATAATAATTCAGATATTGCTTAAATACCTATAACAATTGGTATAATTTGAATACTTTTAATAATACATTTATAAAAGTTAAAGCTGATTATGCTGGGATTAACAGTGAAAAAATAAAGATGATTACACTGGGATTAACAGTGAGAAAAATAAAGATGATTACACTGGGATTAACAGTGAGAAAAATAAAGATGATTACACTGGGATTAATAGTGGAATAAAGATGATAACACTGGGATTAGCAGTGAGAAACATAAAGAGGATCATACTGGTATTAATAGTGGAATAAAGACGAGTATACTGGGATTAACAGTGGAAGGATAAAAGAAAAGGTTAAATTAGAAAATTGACAGCTACAATAATTGGGATATAACAATTGTAATAAATTGAACATTTTTTACTTAAGTAAAAAAGAAAAGAAAATTGAAACAATATATGATTATGATTTATAAACAAAAATTACTTAATTGGTGTTATATAAATGGTATGGTTTAATAGATAGAATTTGGGATAATTGGGAAATTGCATTAAATAGCATTATTTGAATTAAGAACTATGTTTAAATGTTAAATTGCTATATTTTTAAGATTAAAGATAAGATTTAAATTCAATAAAGTAGTAATGGAATAAGGATTTAATGAGTATGTTTGAACTGTACTGAAATGTATTATGAGTTATTAATTGAATTAAGATTTAAGGTGGGTTAATAGAAGGGTAATTGTTTTGATTAAGTAAATATGTGTTAATTTTTTAAAGATGGTATTAGTTGAATATGTGATTTAAGATTTAAGAAATAAGTGTTATGGCAAAATAGAATATAATTTTTTTTTGTTAAAAATGACCAAAAATTGAACAAATTGATGACCGGATCAAAGCTCTGTTCTGAAAAGATGTAATTTGTATGTTTAGAAAAAAAAAAAAACTTTTTGCAAAAAAAAAAAAGAGAGAGTCAATTGGCTTCAAAACCCATATTCATTCATCTTTCTGAGAGTAAGCTTTGATGGTTTTCCTTATCCAGATTCTAACAGCCTTCAAACACCAAGGCAGGATTTCAATACCAGGTCTTTTCAGGAATGGCTTTGAATGATGCTTGTTTTTCCTCTTGAGTTGAATCTGCTAGAAGATTTTAATTATTAGGAGTCAGAATTTCCTAGGAAATTCATAGGAACTAATTTAACTAGTGCCTGGCTTATAGCTGCTTGGCATACTGGAAGGTGTATTACTGTGAATCGTGAAGGCATTGACATTAAGAAATACAATTTTCCTTGAAATATATAGGCTAATATAGCTGTAACTGCTAAGCTATAGCTCATATTGAATCATTGTGTCTTCTCAAATTGTAATGTTATATCCATATTTCTGTTTTCCAGAGAGGGTCCACATGAAACAATAGCTACAAATGGAGCAGTGGTGGTAATTTTTATTTATATATTTGTTTCTTTAATCCTTTATTTTCCAATTAGAAAAATATGAACCTACTCAACCTAGAACAGGATTGTGCAATCTTTGGTTGGCCAAGAGTCCCCTTTGTTATTGAAAAACATGCCTTGTCCACTTTCCTAAAAGTAGGCAGAGGCTAGAAAGGAAGTGAGTGACATCAAAATAAAAAGGGAACTTGATTAAATTTAATTATAAGAAAACGAATTACAGCAATTGACATGATTATGGAATTTCTAATCAGACATTTGTTGATCCATATACTTTGCAATTTATCTTTTCTGGTGCATTAAAATTGTACTAAATTGTGAAGGGCACTTCAGTTGCAATAGTTAAATTCAGAATGCCTACATGAGAATTTGAATTGGTTTGCCACATGAATTGATTCAATCCTTTCTTAAAATGCCCACATCTCTTTATACATTAATAAACAAATGATTGAAATTGCTTGTTCACATGGATACAGACTAAAACAGAAGAGGCTTATTCTGTTAAATATTGGGACTATGGAGATATCTGAAGCAGTGCTTAGTTTTAATGAAGGATGAAACAAAGCACTTCCTCAAAGCTGCTTCTTTACACTAACTGTATTGCTTCTTCTTCTGGACCCTTTGCCTCCTCTTTTACAGCCATGGGATGTTGGTTAGCTTTCACTTCTACATAGATAATTGTCATTTCATCAAGACTAGGACTGTAGTTGAATTTGCTGAATAAACATTAAGTGGAAGTAGAACCATAGCTTTCTGGTAGCCACATATGGTTTAACCCAGCCTCGGCTGCCATAAGTCACTCCAGAGTTTTGCCCATCCTTGTTAATGGTTGTCCAAGCATGAGCATCCTCTGTGTGTTTTTTGGACTACCCTTTCAAAATCTGCCCTTTGAAAAATATTCAACTGGAACTCCTATGGCTAACCAATTTATTCTTAGGGATGTTAATTTCAGAGTTTGTCCATGGGTGTTTATATGTGTTATCTGTATTATTTAGTATAATCTACTAACAAATTACTGATTCGATTAATCAGACTGCTCATCTATGTAAATATGGGAATAAGAAACTATAATTCTGCCTATGAGAGCAGATAATATTAAAAAGGAGGTTTTGAGGATGGTGTTGGCCACAATAGGTAAAAGCATGCCTTACAAAACAGGCCCTCTACCAGCAATATCTAATTTTAAACTGTTTCCTCTTCAGTTTATATATGTCTTAATTGCTTGCTAATTAATTTATAAACTTGATATACTGTTCAAAATTATATAGTATCATTCAGTTGGTTAAAGCAGTACATCAGAACACAATTTACAGCATTTGGTCTAAGAAATAAAGTTCACTGCTTGTACAGCTTTCTCAGAGATGGAAAATGTGAGGAAATTCCTTTCGTTGCAGTGTCGTGAATTCTGCTGCTTGGAGTTTCAGGTAGACAGGAAGAAGCGGAAGAAAAAGAAAAAGCATTCTAAACGTGAGGCTATATTGCATTACAACCTTCATAAGCAAATGATTAAAGGTTCAGGTATCGTGTTCTAAAGGCTTTATGTATAATTGCTGGAATTTCTATTCAGGCACTTGTTGACCCCAATTATACCACTGCTGTATTCAGAGCACTGGGCTCTGAATATCTGATTGAAAGATTGAAAAGGTGGGCCAGATCAGGTCAAGTTCAATGTCGTAAGAATTTATACCCAAATAAAGAAATTATTTTCCTTTCAAATTCTTTATTTATTTATTTATTTATTTATTTATTTATTTATTTATTTATTTATCATATTTCTATACCGCCTTTCTCCCGTAGGACTCAAGGCGGTGTACAGTCAAGAAAAATATAGACACACAAACATCATAAAATTGCTAATTAAAATTATTACTTAGTTTGGTCAATTAAATAAAACCCAGAATTAGATCACATTTAAAAATCATTCACATGTTCATATGTTTAGCCCCGCCTGTTGGAACATCAGAGTCTTGAGGGCACGGCGGAAAGCACAGAGATCAGGGATATTCCGTATCTCCGGGGGCAGTTCATTCCAAAGGGTTGGAGCCCTCACAGAGAAGGCCCTCCTCCTGGGAGTCGCCAGTTGGCATAATTTGACTGACGGTACCCTGAGTAGTCCCTCCCTGTGAGAACGAACTGGTCGGTGGGAGGCTATTGGTGGCAAAAGATGGTCTCGTAGGTACCCAGGTCCTAAGCCATGGAGCGCTTTAAAGGTGATAAATAACACCTTGAATCGCACCCGGAAAACCACCAGGAGCCAGTGCAGCTCGCGTAGGAGAGGTGTTACATGAGCGTAATGAGCTGCGCCCATAATCACCCACGCGGCTACGTTCTGGACCAGTTGGAGCCTCCGGGTGCTTTTCAAGGGGAGCCCCATGTAGAGAGCATTACAGTAGTCCATACGGGAGGTAACTAGGGCATGAGTGACCGTGTGCAAGGCATCCCGATCCAGAAAGGGACGCAACTGGCGGATCAGGCGAACCTGATAAAAGGCACCCCTGGCCATGGCCGTCAAATGATCTTCTAAAGATAGCCGTGAATCCAGGAGGATTTTAAAACATTGATACTTTTATATTTATTGTAGTATCTCAAAATTAGGTGTATCCAGTGGTGGGATTCAGCCAGTTCGCACTAGTTTGGGAGAACCGGTTGTTAACTTTCTGAGCAGTTTGGCAAACTGGTTGTTGGAAGAAATCATTAGGGCAGAGAACCAGTTGTTAAATTACTTGAACCCATCACTGAGTATATCTAGTTTAATGAAAAGAAGGACTAGAGGGTGACATGATAGCAGTGTTCCAATATCTAAAGGGCTGCTTCAAAGGAGAAGCGATCAACCTATTGTCCAAAGCACCTGAAGGCAGGACAAGAAGCAATGTGTGAAACTAATCAGGGAGAGAACCAACCTAGAACTAAGGGGAAATTAGAACAATTAATCAGTGGAATGACTTGCCTCCAGAAGTTGTGGGTGCTCCAACACTGGAGGTTTCTAAGAAGAGATTGGATAACCATTTGTCTGAAATACAGGGGTGAAATGCTCCCAGTTCATACCAGATCACCCGATCCAGTAGTGATGGCGGCAGGTGGTTCGGAGAACTGCTAGCAAAAATCCCTGTGCCCCCCCCCCAAAAGCAGCTGAGCCACACAATCATCAGAGGCTTTTGTTTTGTTTTGTTTTAAAAGCATTTTTTCTACAAACCTCTTCGGCCAAAGAGGCTGTAGAAAAAAATGCTTTTAAAAGCCTCTGATGATCCCAGCTGAGTTGCCTGATCATCAGAGGCTTTTAAAAGCATTTTTTTCTGCAACCTCTTTGGCCAAAGAGGTTGTAGAAAAAATGCTTTAAAAAGAAAAAAAGCCTCTGACGATCAGGCAACTCAGCTGGGATTGTCAGAACCTTTTAAAAGCATTTTTTTCTACAGCCTCTTTGGCCGAAGAGGTTGTAGAAAAAATGCTTTTAAAAGTAAAAAAAAAAAAAAAAGTTGGCCACACCCACCTGGTCACATTACCCCCCCAAGCCACGCCCACAGAACCAGTAGTAACAAATTTTACATTTCACCAGTACTGAAATGGTATAGGGCCATGATGGCGATCCTATGGTACAAGTGCCAGAGGTGGCACGTAGTGCCCTCTCTGATGGCATGTGAGCCATTATCCCAGTTCAGCTCTGCCACACATATGCGTGTGCCTCCCGCTGAACAGCTGGTCTTTGGGTCACTGCCTCACATGCGCAGGGGGCAGGGAGTGTGTGGGGGGCCATGGCCACATGCAGGAGGGTGCATGTGGGGGGGGTCACTCATGCATGCATGGGGAGTGAGACACATGCAGGGGGGGTCGTACATGTGCACAGGGGGCACACACATTGCATTTGGGGGTTCGGGCACGTGCGCACACATTTGCACACACTTTGAGCACTCGGTCCACAAAAGGTTAGCCATCACTGGTATAGGGTTTCCTCGTTGAGCAAGGGGTTGGACTAGAAGACTTCCAAGGTCACTACTAACTCTGTTATTCTATTAAAATGGAACTGAGTCAAAATAACAAAATAGCCAGGAATAGAAATTTGCATGACTAGAATGTACATTGCTCAAGATCAGCATAAAGCCAATCATTTTTTGGAAAGAAGCATGGCCATGAGGGAATTTCAAGGCATTCCAAGTTTATTTGGTTGAGAAATAAGTTTGATTTCTATTGACCTCTCTCTGGGAGTAAGCCACACTGATCGCAAGCTGCTGCACAGAAATATTTATATCACAATATTTATATCCTTTATCCAGATCATGTTTTTCAGCAATGTGCAAAGCAATTAATAATTTTTTTTTTAAAAGGAAGATTGTAATGAATTATACACTGCTCAAAAAAATAAAGGGAACACAAGCAGAAGACATCCGAGATCTGAATGAATGAAATAGCCTTATTAAATACTTTGTTCCTTACATACAGTAGTTTTGTATTCCCTTTAGTTGTTTGAGCAGTGTATAAACTACTGTATGTAAAGAACAAAATATTTAATAAGCTATTTCATTCATTCAGATCTCGGATGTCTTCTGCTTGTGTTCCCTTTATTTTTTTGAGCAGTATATAATTCATGTCTATAGGTGGCATTGATATTAATTTGCATACTACAATTTTTTTTGCTTTGCGCTCTATTTTTAGAACAAGATGTTAAATGTACCTTGAAAGGATCCTTTGAAGAAACTCAAAGCATTTCATTAACTTCTGCCAAAAAGCTGCAATGCACCGAACCTTTCTTTTTCCACTATGCCAAGTATAATCCAGCAGAACTGGACATTCTTCTTCCAGGAAAGAGATCATTTCTCTCTTTTGTATGTCATAGCTAAGCATGGTAGTAATCTGGATAATTTTGTGTAGTCATTTTGTTGGGAGGGTTATTTAAAAAGTTTAAAAGTTTGTTTGTTTGTTTGTTTGTTTGTTTGTTTGTTTTAAAAAAAGCATCTTTATTTCCAGTGCTCTTGTATGTCATGTGGAATTGATTCTGCCAAAACCAGAAAGTTGACCTTGCCTGTACATTCATTTCCCTTAAATCAGGAAATAATCAAAGAGGTGAGTACATGCCTAATTTTCAGATTCCTTCCCCTCACCTTTTTTTTAAAGGGCCTTTCAATCAATTTCCCAGGGAGCAAATAAAATAGCATGCAAATGAATCACTTCCTGGGATATTAAAGTTAGCAAACCTCAAGTTACTTTAAATTAACCTCTGGTAATTTCCATGCCTTTCCTAGTTTGGTACCATTATACCCATCTTATGTTTACCCCTGCAGTTATTTTCCCTTGAATCAAAATTGCATCAGACAGCTCTTACTGGATGATATCACAATGAATGTAAATCAGGTTTCATCAGAGATTCAAGATACTCTTCCATGAGGAAAAAAATAAGTCAAAAATTCCTACCCTAACACCCTCCTCCCCAATAAAAACCAGTAAGGAATACACTAAAAATGCAGAAATAAGGTACTAGTTTGGTTGATGTAGCACAGTAAGGAGTAATATGGAATTAATACAGGATTCATCAACTTTGAGGGGGACATATTTGGAATTTTGAGAGCAGGTTATGGCACTTTCACATAATGCTAGAGTGGATGTGGCCAATCACAAAATATGCATATGTTAATAAAACAGACAGATACGAGTGGCAGACACTCACTGTTTCATTTTTAAAGTAGTCTTCTAGAGACTAGTTGTGGTATCTGTTTCCTTACCTGACCTCTATATCAAAGGGCTGACACAATTCTTAAATGCTTCACTACTCTCTATTAAGAGCGGCATCCAATCTTGGTTTTGATTGTGAAGATGGTATCAGGTCCATAATCCAGCAAAAAACACCTTGCTGAAATATTGTTACAACATCAACAGCAAGTGGATATACAAATAACAAACTTGCCCAATGCCATGATATAACTAACATATTTGGGACATTTCTGGCTTGCCTAGGCCAGAAATGATTCAACAACCTATGGGCCAACTAATATTTCTTTGTTGTCATGGAGTTTGATGGAGAAATTTGAAGGATTTTGGGTTGTTTTTTATGTTGAGTCAACCAGTAGAATTTCCCACAGATTGTTCCAGAGTGACTTTTGTTCTGAAACTGCTAAGGGAAAGAATAACCAAGTGACCCATACCTCTCACTGAGGACAATCACTATTACAAGATAATTACTAACAAAAATTTAGAGCTGACAATTTAGCTCTAAATTTGACAATTTAGCTAGGAGAAAGCAGCAAATCAAGAGACTCACAGGATGAAATGGAGCAACTACAGAATATGTAAGTACATATTGGATTTTACAATATGTACTTACATATTATATGCCAGAGATGTGGGGTGAAAAGATCTGGCTCTGATTGAGGAGGACTTTTGAGTACTTCCTGATGAGCTAACAGATGAATTGATGAGGCAAGGCCTACCAGAAAAAACTGTTCTAATGTTGTGTTAATTGATGGGTGATTGAAGTTGAGGGAAGTATTGATCTCATAGGTGAGACTTTGGTGCAACAGTTTATTTATTTATTTTTTTGCAAGAAAAGAAAGTTTATTAAATTATTTAATAATTTAAATAATTATTAAATTATTAATAAATGGCCCATACAGCCATTAGAGAAACCTATGCTTGTGGAGGTGCTTCAAAGTGGTGAAGTTGTATACTACAACATTGCAACTGACAATAAATTATCGTACAGGATTATTGCCACTTTGTGTCAGAGCTTTCTTATGTGTCCACATTGTGCTGGGCATTAAATGGCTGCAAACCAGTGGTGGGTTGCCCCTGGTTCGGACCAGTTCTCTAGAACCGGTAGTAAAACCGGCAGGAGGCTCCACCCACTGACCCCGACATCATCAGGAAGCTTCTGTGCATGCGCGCACTGCCCCATTGCGAACTGGTAGTAAAGGTAAGTAGAACTCATCCCTGCTGCAAACTCATGGTCCAAATGCCTTTTAGGAGCAGGGGATGATTTTTCCTCTTTCTCCTAATGGAAAGATATCCCTGCAGAGATTCATATGGCTTCCACTCTTAAAACATTCCAAAAATTATTTAAAATCTGGTTATTCCCACAGACCTGGGGATAGGGTGTTTGTGGAGCCCTTCGTACTTAGTGTTGTCCCTTTGGTTGCCTGTGTTCTCTTTTATTGTCACTTTAATTTGGATGCCTCCTCCCATGGAGTCAGGCAGCTTCCAAATTAGAATAAATCAATCTCAAAAGGGTCAATAGCACCATCTATAAACTTTCCATTCTTATCCAACTATCTCTCCAGCACAGTGCTTTGAATTCCTTTTCAATGTTAGGTAAACATTCAGGAAGAGGAGTTTGAGAAAGAAATGCAAGTTGATTCTGTGTGGAATCAGAGAGGGCATAGGGAAACTCTTATTAGAATTACAATATTCTCTTCTTATATCCTACAATGATCAAGTAGATTCACCATAGTATTTGTGTGCCATTTAAAGGTTCCATCAATGGTATTTTTAATTCTGTTCCCTCTGCCAGAAGCTCCTCATTTAGCCCGTTTCACTCACTTCCAAAACAATTATTTTATTTCCATCAAACTCACTCTGCATTTTCTCTGTCTTTTTATCTTAAGTGTTCCTTGATCTCTTCAACTATATTCCTTGCAACTAACTTGTTCTCTCTTTATACACGTTATACAAAACCTTATCTTCATCCCAAATAATCATCCTCTTTTTTGCATTTTACTTATCCCCGGTCTTTTTCACTTCATCATTTCACCAAGCATTTTTTCTACTTCTTAAACTGTGCTGATGCACTGCATTCAACACATTTGAAAAACCAACATTTTAAGTATTACAATAAACTATATTTCCTTAATATTTTAATATCTCATGCCTTTAATTCCTTTGGCTTTGTATTTCTTACTCCTTACTTGTTGCTTTCCCTGAAAGGGAATAACATAATTACTATGTATGTAAAGAAACTCAAAATTCAAAATAGATAGGACAGGAAACTTGACGGATGCCAAATAACAAATCAGCAGACACCTTATCTTCCTGGATGCCATGCTGCGAATTCAAGGCCTAATATATTGTTTTACTATAGCCTTGAGTTGTATGATACCAACCAACTATATTTTAAATTGTTATTACATAACCTATGGCTTATGACTGATCTGAAAGGCAGGTTTATCCAAAGTTGGCCATCGCCCATTTGAAGACATCCTTGATGTCATCTTTTAGTCATCCTAGACTATAAGGAAGGCAATCTTTACCTATCTCCCCCTGCAACATGTTTAAAGTAGTATTTTCTGACTTGTGCCAACATAAATGGTGCTGTCTGGTTCACTTGCTCTGTTTCATTTCAAACATGAAATATTTTGGCTATTATGCAGTACAACAAGGATACCATTCCCACCTACATACCAGTTAGACTCTCTGTAGCCTTTTCTATAAAAAAAAATCACTACTGGAAAAATGAAACAGTGGATCTGACATAATACTGTATATTGCTTGATGTTGGTTTTCAGCACATACTGAGTCATAATATTGGTATCTTGTTAGCTAAGCAATAGAAGAGCCCAAGGGGCACCACTGTTGGGCTATGCTTAGGGCATTATTGACATTCGTCAGCCCCTGGTTCTAGTCACTAAAATGGAAAAAGCAGATTGAATGCAGGATGTTCTTAATTGATACCAACAGGAGCTATAACTCCAAAAACAAAATTTGTGCCACAAATATGGGGTATGTATAAATCTCCTGCTTGAGCAGAGGATCAGATTAGAAGACCTCCAAGCTCCCTTCCAACTGATACTGATACTAATACTGATAGTGATGTTGATGCTGATTGCTAAGTGCCATCGCATATGCAGTCTTCGATGCTTTAATTTTTCACATTTGAGAAAAGCCATTGTGGGGGTGCAGCTTTGCCATTACATGAGTCACTTTTTTAATGACATGTGGTTCTTAAAACTGAGTACGTTAATTGTTTGTAATAGCTTTTCAGTAAAAGTAGGCAGTGCACCTTAGATCCTCTCCTGTGTGGGCAACGTTTAGGCATGTTTCCCAGAGGTTGAAATATCACACCCATCCTCTGAATATATTCTTTTCCCTACTGGAGATAAAGTATATGATAATATTACAAAACAGCTGTGACATGTCAATCCTAAGGGCAAAGTAGCACTGTTTATATATCATACACTACAGGGATAAGCTAATATTTACTTAATATTAAGCCACAAATTTAATTGCTTAAATTTTGGCTTTGCCAGACATTAAGACTATTACGACCTCAGGTCACCTATGAATCAGGCTACTACCATATGATTTATCCAAGAAACCATGGGTGAAAAAAAGTGGCTTTGCCAGAATTGTATGTGAACTCAACAACAGTGAGTTAGTGAGGAGTTCTGAAGCTTCTTTAGAAAAATGTCCATCTAAAACAGGGAGAAAGAATTGCCCTCATTTATCCTCACTGACAATCCTCCGTGGCATTTCGCATAAATCTGTGAGATTTTTTAAGATCCTAGATGCAACTAATATCTCCATGATATTATGAATTCAATTAATAAGATCCAAACATCTGCATCAGAGGTGGGTTTCAGCAGATTCTGACCAGTTCTGGAGAACCGATAGTGGAAACTTTGAGTAGTTCGGAGAACCAGTAGTAAAAATTCTGACTGGCTCCGCCCCCATCTATTCTCTGCCTCCCAAGTCCCAGCTGATCGGGAAGAAAGGTGGATTTTGCAGTAACCTTCCCCTTGGGGGTGGATTGGGGTGGGAATGGAGATTTTACAGTATCCTTCCCCTGGAGTGGGGTGGGAATGGAGATTTTACAGTATCCTTCCCCCTGCTATGCCCGCCATACCATACCCACCAAGCCATGTCACGCCCACCAAGCCACACCCACAGAACCGATAGTAAAGTATTTTGAAATCCACCACTGATCTGCATAGTTTTAATGCCCTGTCTTTAACTTTAACATTGGTACCAGTACATACAAGCCTTGATTACAACACATATTCTTTTTTCTCATCATTGTAAGAAATGTAGGGAGATTTCAGTAAAGATATTAATAGTATTAATAGTAATTAGTACTGTGCATTCTTGATTTTCAGGATAAAGAATTTAATTTATACTTCACAGCACAGAACTGGTAAGATGCTTTTCCTGCCTTCTATAAATTTAACTACTGATGTCCTGGATATTTTTAAAACAAACTCTCCCTGGAGTCAACCTGCTGACTATGTAAACATATCCATGTTGCTTTCTTGTCATCATTACAGAATTAATTTGCCATCTGTTTCTGTCTTATTGTATTTATTTGACTTTCCAGTGCTGATACTCTCTGGGTGGCTTCCTATCCAAGTAATAGGTCTAGCCTTGATTAGTTTTTTGAGATCTGCCTGAGATGATTAGGTGCTCTCATCTGTTGGACAGTTTAAAAACGTATTTCTAAAAATATGTTTGCTATCGACAGTGTGATCCCAAATTAACACCTCTTCACTGCAGTTTGCTAATAAAAAGGGTTTAATTTTATTGAATTTGTTCCTAAGGTTGAGAAGTATAAGTCTCTGTCAAGATTGTGCTCTACTTCCTGGGTGTAGGTCAGGGGTCAGCAACCTGTGGCTCTGGAGCCACATGTGGCTCTTTCACCCCTCTGCTGCGGCTCCCTGTCACTCAAAATATGTGTCACAACCGCCAATGTGTGACACCTGCCGGCATGCAGTTTATTGAGCTTTTCAACCCCCAGTAGGCCAACCATGGATAAATCCAAGAAAAGAAAAGTTTCAGAAGAAAACAGAACGTTTAATTCAACTACATATGCTAGTTTTGTGGCCGCTCAAGAAATAGTCAGGCATGGAAAGGGTTTTGTTGCTCCTGGTGTTTTCTTTTCTGTGGGAAACGGGTCCAAATGGCTCTTTGAGTATTTAAGGTTGCAGACCCCTGGTGTACGTGGAAGGAAATCTTCTTGCTAATGAACCTAACTTTCTAAACTTAGGATGGGATGGCTTTGAGTTTTCATCCTCTGAGGATGTGGGTATGATCTAGCGAGATAAATATCTTGGTTTCAATTGTTGTGACCAAAATCCAATATCACGCCATTACATCAGGTGAGGGAGTGTAGATTTTTGAGGAGGAATGCTATTGCATTAAGAGTAGATCTGCCTACTTCCATATGATGTGTCACAATGCTGCAGCAGAAAAGTTTGCACAAGAAGAGATCTGGGCAGGGCTGTAGCTTTTTGCAGAGCAGTGTTGAAAATATTCCTGTGTAACTGGGATCTATTTATGGAGTAAACTTCCTTTTAACATAAGTTATGATCCAGGATAAATATTTGTGGGGTCCTTGGTGCTCCCTGAGCCTGTTTGTTTTCTTGCAGATGTTTCATTGTCCAAATGAACAACATCTAATGATGTTACCTAGCTTGGGTAATGAAACATCTGCAAGAAAACGAGCAGGCTCACAGAGCACCAAAGACCGCTCATTTCAACCCTGAGCTACAAATATTCTCCTTCATTGATAAATATTTGTGTTCCAGCACATCAGATTTAGATGTACGCTTAGGGTTTGATCTTTGTCCAGAAGAAGAGGCTTTCCTGAAAAGACGGAAGAAAGTGACTGCTGCTGCTTTCAAAAAGATTCTCCAGCTTGAGGATGATCTGCAGGAAGATGAGGTTAAGAATTCAGTTTTTATATCGAAGGAAATTCTTCTGTGAGCAGTTTACTAATTGGGAAACAAACAGGTTTATAGTGTTTAATGCTTGTAACTTTCAAGCTTCGTTTCTTGAAATGCACTGAAGCTGTCATATGCAGTTTCAGGTCCTTGCTTAACCCATTCTGGGTTATTTTTTTCCCCTCATGTCTGGGCTATTTATAACAGACCCCTCCCTTATTATTGCCAATGCAGGGAGGTGATGTCAGACTCAGGCCCGATTCAGACTCAAGCCTGATTTGTAGCTCCATGTTCAAACCAGAAGGTCAGAAAGTAGGATTTGATGGGTTGAAGATCCAGAGAATACTTCTGTGTTAATATTCTTACTCTCATTCTACACAACTTCATAATCAGGCTAACTTTATTAGTCTTGTAACAGGAAGAGACACACAGCCCCATTACTTTTCCTCAGGTTCCTGGATGAACTGCATCATTCCATAGTATGAGACGTTCTAAAACAAGAACATACAGCCTCCATTAGCTCAAGGGCAGCATTAAGCTTTGCCCAGCATGTCAATCTAAAAGTGAACAGTGGCAGGATCCCATCAGGGACAAAGGTAGGAATGCAAGAGTTACAGAAGTCATTTTATTCTCCAACCCCCTACATCCCTTCCTCATATTTTCTTTTTAAAGTGAAATGTTTGAGCCCAAAACATTTGGGGAAACTGAGGTCACAGCAGGAATCCTGGCAAGCTGTATGATGTCCATAAGCATCATACATTTGGCATTCCTGCTCTACATCTTGTCTTTATAGGCTTATTAACATAGCATAAGATGCTCTATCAGCTTCTCCCATTACAGGTAGTCCTCGATTTACAACAGCACTGAAAAAAAAATACTTATGACCGTTTTTCACATTTTCAACCGTTGCAACATCCCCATGGTCACATGATCAAAATTCAGATGCTTGGCAACTGACTTATATTTATGATGGTTGCATTGTCCCAAAGTCACGTGATCCCCTTTTACGGCCTTCTGAAAAGCAAAGCCAATGGGGAAGCCAGATTCACATAACAAGCATGTTACTAACTTAACAATTGCAATGATTCACTTAACAACAGTGGCAAGATAGGTCTTAAAATGGGGCAAAACTCACTTAACAAATGTTTCATTTAGCAACATAAATTTTGGGCTCAATTGTGGTCGTAACTCAAGGACTACCTGTAAATGATTTATTATCGTCTCTGACTCCCTAGAGCCGTGATGGTGAACCTATGGCATGCATGCCACCGGTTGCATGCGTAGCCATATCAGTGGGCACGCCAGCTCAGCTCTGGTGCACATGCGCGCACCAGCCAGTTAATTTTCAGGCGGGGTGGGTGGGGAAGGTCCATTTCTCAACTCCCGGTGGGATAGGAAGTGACTTTTTCGCTGTCCCCAGCCTCCAGAGACTTCACTTCCTGTCCCACCAGGAGTTGGGAAATGGGCTGTTTCAGGCCTTCGGAGGGCCTCCGAGGGAGTGGGAAAGACTGTTTTCACCCTCCCTAGATGCATAGAGAGGATCTGGAGCCAGGTGAGAAAGAAAAACGGGGCTTCCCCACTCACCCCCCAGGCCCTCCGGAGGCAGGAAACAGCCTGTTTCCCTACTTCTGGTGGGCCCAGAAGGCCCAAAAATCAGCTGCCGGTGTGCGCATGAGCACTAGAGCTGAGCTGGCGTGCCCACTGATATGACTATGCGTGCCACCTGTGGCACGTGTGCCATAGGTTCTCCATCACTGCCCTAGAGAATCTTCTTTTGAAAAAGGGTTCTGCCAGGTTCTCTAAGTATGCCAAGTCCCTGAGCATGTTTTATAGGTATATCTATTTAAAGTGTTGTGATAGAAAAGTTTAGGTATCTCACAGAGATTATATATTACCTATTTTGATGAACAATTGTGTTTTCCCTGTGTTCAGGTGCCAGTGGTGGCAATCATGACAACAGGCGGTGGGATCAGAGCAGTTACGGCAATGTATGCTCACCTACTGACATTGCAGAAATTAGGTGCTTTGGACTGTGTGTCCTATATCACTGGATTGTCTGGCACAACATGGTAAGCTTCATGTAATCCAGTGAGATGTTCCTAAAACAATAAGATGAAAGTTTTATTAACCTTCTTCGCTGGAGGTTTTTAAGAAGAGATTGGACAGAATGAGTCTCCTGCATGAGCCGAAGATTGGCTTAAAAAGCCTCCAAGGTCCCTTCCAACACTGTTATTCTGTATTCTGCAAGTAATAATGAGATGTTTGGTATAAGAGACGTTGTGGTAGAATTTATTCATTGATACAATGGATATGAAACAGTCTACAGCATAGTTAAAATCAGGAGACACAAATCCACTGCATATTACTGTAGAATCGGTATCATTTCCAAGGAAGGTCACAAGAAAGTAAGGTCAGGTTACATACCAGGAGAAATGCCAGGCCCACATGTGGAAACAAGTAGGCATGTGAAATTAATATTTCTCCTTCATTGGAGGACTTTAAACTGACAAATATTCAAAGTAGGCTTGAGTAGGCAAATTGAGCGAAGTGCCTGCTGTCAAAGAGGCTGTAGAACAGTGTTTCTCAAAGCGTGATCTGCAGACGCTTTCATGGGGTGCACAAAGTCAAATAAATATTTACACATTTCTCAACTTTAATTTCTAATACCATAAATTTCACCTCTATAAACCAAAGCTCCTTTTAAAAGTGTAAACGGTTCCTGAGTCCAAAACATCTGACTAAAACTGAGCAGGAGGGTGGATCAAATGGCATCTGAGATCCCTTCCAGTCCTCTGAATGTGATTCATAGGTTTATGTTTTGCTGCTTTTCAGTTCCTAAATGTGTCCGTGTTAATTTCCAGGACAATGTCACGCTTGTATCAGGATCCCAACTGGTCCCAAAATGATTTAGAAAAGCCACTCAGGAGTGTGCAAAACCATGTGACAAAAAACAAGTTTCTGGCCAGTTTTGCCCCAGAAAAGCTGAAGTACTATGCAAAGGAACTGTGGCAACGTTATCAAGAAGGGTACAGTGTATCTTTTACAGACTTATGGGGATTGATCATTGAAGCTATGCTACACAGTGAGGTATTTTACTATTTTTTTTTCATTTTTGTTTTTTTAAAATGAATGCCTGGTTCATGTTAAATTTGATTAATCAGTGGTTTGACCAACAGATTTATTATATTTATATTGTTGATTATAGCAATAGCACTTAGACTTATATACTTTACAGCCTTCTCTAAGCAATTTTATTTATTGTCCACCTTCTGTCTCAAAAGACTATGGTATCTTGCTCTGGAAAGAGGTCCTAAAACAGCATCTAGTGTGACTAAAAAGGCCAGTTCTAGAGTGGCAATCCCTTCCACACTGAGGGCAGATACATTCTGTCCCCTGCCCAGCCCCCAGATTTCACTGGTTCCAGGACTGCCTCTTTGCCTCAGCCTGCCAAACAAGTGTCTCTTCGAATTGGAGAAGGCCATGCTGCGTCTTTAGCCTCCAAGCTGAATAATCAGAGGTCAAGGTTTGCCAGTTGTTAATGTCCATTCCCAGGGCCTTTAGGTCCCTCTTGCAGATATCCTTATATCGCAGCTGTGGTCTCCCTCTGAGGCGTTTTCCCTGCACTAATTCACCATACAGGAGATCTTTCAGAATCTGACCATCAGCCATTCTCACGACATGCCCAAGCCAGCGTAGACGTCGCTGTTTCAATAGTGTATACATGCTAGAAATTCCAGCACGTTCCAAGACTGCGCTATTTGGAACTTTGTCCTGCCAGGTGATGCCAAGAATACGTCAGAGACAGCGCCTATGAAAGGTGTTCATATGTAAGCAATTTACACTGTAAGCAATTTACAGTGTAAGCATATTGCCCCCAACAGTATGGGTCCTCATTTTACAGACCTCAGAAGGATGGAAGGCTGAGTCAACCTTGAGCCAGTCAGGATTGAACTCCAGATTGTAAGCCAAGTTAGCCTGCAATACTGCATTCTAACCACTGCTCCACCAGGGCTCTATTATGTAGAACCTCTTTATGTGGAATAAACATTAACAGGGCGACAAATCTGCTGTGATTACTTCCGCCAAATAATAAGTTTCAAGCTTCTAAAAAAATGAATGTTAATAATATAAGCACAGTTCCAGTTCAGAAAGCTTACTATATCCTTAAATCTTATTCACTTTGAATTACGTGTCTGCATTTCAGTATATTTAGTCCAATTTTTGCATGAACAAATTAATAGAAAATTATTTTAAATATTCTAGCATACTGTGAAATGTTTGGTGGGCTTCAGTTCAAAGAAGCACCTCAATAAGGTTTCAAATGCTAAGTGAGATTTTTTTGTCTTTTGCGGCTACAATAACTATGTTCTTGTTTCTTTCACAAACAAGGAAAACCCTCACAAACTTTCAGATCAGCAGCAGGCCCTAACTGATGGACAGAATCCTCTACCTATATATCTTTGCCTCAATGTGAAAGAGAAACTAAGTAATCGAGGGTTCAGAGGTAATTGTAACTTGCACTTACATTTGGAGATATACATAACCAAAAGCTGCAAATATCTGATTCAGAAATAATTAGGCCTTAGGTCAGTCACATTCTCTCAATCCTAGGAAGGAGGCAATGGCAAACCACTTCTGAAGAAACCTTGTCAAGAAAACTGCAGGGCCTTGTCAAGACTGACTCAAAGGCACCGAAGATAGATAAATAAATAAATAAATAAATAGCCACATAAGACTCAATAAATTTAAAAGCAGGTTTACAGATTTTAAAAAGAAGCCTAGATTAGTTGGTTGAAGCAGTTTGGATGATGTAAAAGTCCCCCACTATAAGAAAAAAAAAAGTTCCACTTATAAAGACATCCCCTATATAAGGTGCTTTAAAAAGTTCAGTGGGCATTGGTCAACCTACTGATGGTATTGCTTCTCTAAATCAAATATTCCAGGAATGGCTATGGTGTATTTGGATACTAAGGATCTAGAATACTTGACTTGCTTCAGTTTGTTTCAATAGGAAGGTATAGAATTAAACCACAAAGCTTTTTTTTTTCCAGGATCCCCACCTCCCAGCCAATGCAAACTTCTCCAGCCCTGATCAACATATTCTAGCAAAGTTTGAAAATTTGGAATTGTCTACTACTTTACTCCTTACCAATATTTAGGGTTGCTTCTCTCCAGTTCTCTGATGTACGACATGTGTTAAAGATAACTCCTATTAAATGTATACATTGAATACAATCATAGAATTATATCATGATGGGCAGATACTTAAACCTATTAAATAAATAATTAAGAACATAATATAAAATGTTATGAATAATATTTTTGGGATATTATGCTCTTATGTCTCCGTTTTTAGAATGGTTGGAATTCACACCGTATGAAGTTGGATTCCAAAAATATGGTGCCTACATTCGTGCTGAACACTTTGGTAGCGAATTCTTCATGGGTCGTTTGATGAAGAAAATCCCAGAATCACGTATCTGCTTTTTAGAAGGTATCTGAATTGTTAATTAAAATGTAGCCTCACACTGAAATTTACCAAATGCAGTGGTACCTCTGGTTCTGGAAGACACAATGAGTACCAAAATTGATGAGTACCAAATTTTTCCCGTAAGAAATAAGATACAGTAAATAAATTGAATGTGTTCCCAAACCAAAGACAATGCACATTTTTAAGGTAATGTGTAAAAAGATAGGGTTGCATATCATTATTTTACATGAGAAGTAAATCTAAAAATTAATAAATACTTAGATTAAATAAAATAAAAAAATTACTTTACCTGTACCAATGAGAAGGGAGCGCAGCACATGCGCAGGTGTCACCAAGTGCTGAAAAGGGAGCACTTCTTGCATGTTCATCAGAGCTGCAACCAGGAAAAGGAGCTGTCCAGAGGGCATGCACGCTGGCCAGCAGGTTTTCCTGTTACTGCCGTGCATGTGCACATGCCAATCAGCTGGTCGGCACGCATGCTGACGCAGGAAAATGGAAGACCAGCTCTTCCAGTTTCCGGCACTGCCGCACGCACAAAGGCCAGCTGATTGTCACATGCACATGTGCACCAGAAACCCGGAAGAGGAACGGGCGATGCCACACGTGCCAGGCGACATGGCTCCACGTGCCACTTCGGGCACGCATGCCATAGGTTCACCATCACAGCACTATGCAGTATTCTAGGGCGTAAAATCCTGCCTGAGGCACAGATCAGTTCACAGCTGGAGTATGACCCACAACATTCTGGGTTAATCCTTAAAATAACATGGCAGTGTACGTAACCGTGGCCAAATGATTCACTAATATAAAATATAACAATTATATTATGAAACAATGACATAGAAAAGGAAAAGAATCATTTCATCACAATTGTTTTTAAGATCGCACAAAAACACTCCTGTCTTGCCTCTTGCAGGAATCTGGAGTAGTGTGTTTTCTGTGAACATTATGGATGGCTGGTTCCTGGCTACCAATTCAGAAGATTTTTGGCAGATCTGGACACGAGACAGAATAACTGAAATTGGTGAGTTGCTTTTATATCTTCTTCTGCTGTGTTTGACAATATGGACTGAAGCTATATCCTTCCTGTATTTTTATCTGATAAATATTTTATAGTTTAAGATACTGGTACAAAATACCCAGAATTAATAATAATAATTATAAAAAAGCCATTTTCATTCTGGTATCAGGACTGAAACTGCCTTGACTTCTGGTAAGTAAACAGAAAAAGCAAGGTTTGACCCAGTCTTGCTGGCCTTTTGATCGGCTTTCAAAACCACCAATCAGGTTATGTCCTGTCATGCTGTGTTCCTATTCTCACATAGTAACAGTGCCCGTTCTCTACACTCCCTTTGTATAAAATACATCACAAGGGCTGTAGGAAAACAAATGTTTCTTTGAAGAAGGTCCCCACTTCAGTCCCCGAAGCCTTCAGTGCAACTGAAAAAATGTAAGAGTAGTTATCAGTAGCTGCCAAAAATAACATTAGGTGGTCCAGCACTTTCAGTATGTGTCACTTAGTGTCATTTAGATAAAATGGACAATGTAGAAATTTAATAAATAAATGCAGTTGTTTTATATGGGTTTCATGTTGGGGGTGGCTGTTAGATTAATATCAAAATACCACCTCCCCTCATTCATCCTATTCCCTCTCTCTCCATCTTTTAGCTATTGTATTTTTATATACTTTTGTAGCATTTTATTTATATAGTTTTATTTTTTAATATTGTAAACCACCCAGAGTTACCCTGTGGTAAGATGGGTGGCCAATAAATTGAATAAATAAATAAATACATTTCATACCTACAGATCAGACAGGTTTTTAGTTTCATAGAAACGGTTCAATGAATCCTGTACTTGCAACACATAACCTTGGTGATGCAGGTGATATAGGAAAAAACTTTTTTTCCATGCAAACAAATATCATAACTCATCAAGATCCCATTGCTGAAAGCAAAATGCTAAATTATACCTGTGCTGTATTCTGCTTTTTAAAAAAGTAAAATGGGTGTGTCAGAGCTCCTTTGGGGCAATGAAACCCTTGTGTAAATTATTTTTGATTATTTAAAATTTGGCCAGATAAGAGAGAAAAATAAACTAGTACAAAGTCCAGATGAAATGAGAAAAAGTCAATCAGTCATCACTAGACTGTGATGTTTTTCTGTGTCATATGTGTGTGTGTGGCTATATGCATAATGGTTATCTTTTCAGTGCTGAATGCAAAAGATAACTTCATTTTAATGTAAGCTGACTAATGTATATTTAAAGTGACAATAAAGATTCTACTCTACTGTACTCTACTCTACTCTACTCTACTCTACTCTACTCTACTCTACTCTACTCTATTTTATTCTATTCACATTTCAAGTGTCCCATACCAATAGGTTATTATAGGTATGGCTGTGAAAAAAACACTGCATGCATTTAATGTATATTATTTTGTCTGCAGAAGAGCTTATGTGCTGTCCAAAAGCATATAAACTACCTGTTCGAGTCCAATATCCTCCAGGAAGCCTTGCCAGCATTTTGCAAGATGTTATTATGTGGCGACCTGCTGTGTCATTGGTCCCCAATTTTCTGAGAGGTTGCCCAATGCACGACAAATATTTAGAGAGTGGATTTGCAAACTGGAAAGGTATAGTTTCCTTTTAATTCAAGATCCTTTTGGAGAGCTTGTACTCCAGTGATACTCTTAGTATGTACTGGAGACTTTGCTGTTTGTTTACAAAAGCTAGATTGATAGATGAAACAGATTCTTTTATCAAATTACTGAAAGGCAGATATTTGGAAAAGAGAAGCCTAGTTGTCCACTGCATAGAAGAAAAGTTACATTATTGTCCCTCCTGAGCTTTAGTTACATGATTGTGTCTAGTTTTTAAATTCTTCTTAGGCCTGTTTTTAACCATAAATATATTTCATTTAGATTGTGATCTTGACAGTTTTCCTAACCAGCTAACTGGAGCTGAAGAGCATCTGTATCTGGTGGATAATGCATTTGCCCTCGATACCAGCTATCCCCCACTTATGAGGCCGGAGAGAAAAGTGGACGTCTTCATACATTTAAATTATAGCTCAGGTTCACAGTTACGGGTGAGAAACATGACACTCCATTCCCAGCAATTGTGCTTATAAGTCCTGTTGTTTTCTGATGCGAAGAGGAAGTTGACTGTCAGAACTCAGTTTTCTCCTCAGCAAGAATCTTATTCTTGCAGCTGCTTCCTCTTCTGCCACATGACATTTCTCACATGAAAGTGAGAAACTGATTTTAAAAAAAAATTTCAGCACTGTTGACAGATGCACTGTCAATTGGGCCAATTAACTTACTGAAACCTTTATTTGCCACCTTTAATAAATAAGAAATTTTGTCTTGCTGATCTTATGGAATCACAGTTTAAGCTATCTTAGTTTCTTGACTTCTAGTGCCCCCTTTTGTCCTCTGGTTTACACACACACAAAAAAGATTCTGGGATAAAAGAAAGGCCCAACAAAGTTGCTATTCAAAGGATGCTAACTGGCCCAGAAAATGACTGAATGTTAAATCAGGGCATCTTTCGCCCCAATTATTATGTTCTCCATGTTACATGAGGAACCACCTACCTCCCATATTATCTGCCCAGCTCATTTAATTTGACAGGGATGATGTGCCTTGCATTCCTTTGACTAAACAGTGCCATCTATCAGAACCCCAAGAGCACACCTCTATTCAGTGGTGGGATTCAAATAATTTAACAACCGGTTCTCTACCCTAATGATTTCTTCCAACAACCAGTTCACCAAACTGCTCAGAAAGTTAACAACCAGTTCTCCCAAAGTGGTACAAACTGACTGAATCCCACCACTGCCTCTATTGCAAGGCCTGCCCTCTTAAATGAGCTTCTCCCTGAGATCTGGTTTGCTCCCAATCTACTGGTATTTTAGAGCGCTTTGAATAAAGACTGAGAAATGGGTATAAAATTCAATCACATTTCAATCTACCCAGTATGCAGACGTACACAATACACCTCAATTCTAAGGCCAATTCGCATTGTACATATTGTGCTGACAGCTACCCTCTAAAAGACCAGGATCAGGACCTAAAATCAGTAGGGTCTTGTCTACATTTTAAAGGAAAACCCCTAATTCAGAGAGACATTATTGGAATGCACAAAGCAAAATATTCAATCTGGTGGGTCTTTTTCCCATTTGGGGGACAGGATTAAGGAGCAAAATTGGTTTTGTGGAGAACCCATTTCTCTTCATTAAAAAGAAACAATCAGCATTTTTTTGTGTTCTTTCATATCTTGTTTGTTCATTTATAAGCCTTTAGAGTTTGCAGAATTGAGATACTAAGCGAACTGTAGCTCATAAGAACCCTTGTGAGACAGCTATGATAAGGTTTTAATACTTTTTATTTAAAAAATAAAGTACTTATAAAAGCTTGTTTGACTGTTTCCCCCCTCCCTCAATCTATACAGCCTCTGCAAATGGCCTCAAATTATTTCTCAGAACAAGGAATTCCTTTTCCCAGAATTATCCCACAGGAACAAGATGAAAAAGATGTAAAGGAATGCTATTTGCTAGATCAAGAAGGTCCAAATATTCCATTAGTTCTTCTTTATCCCCTGGTTTGTAATACCTTCCAAACTTATAAAGAACCTGGTAAGTGTGTGTGAATGTTTTTTTTTTTTACTTTGCCCCACTCCCTTTAATTATGTCTAGTGTTGTGTTTGAACCAAATGTGAGATCCAGGAATCATGGAATACAAAAGAGAAAAAGAATTTGGTCTGAGGTTTAAAGGGACCGGTTGATTTGCAAACTGTGAAAAGTTGGGATACAAAAAATGTGCTTTCCCTTTCTCTCCAATAAAATGTTTTGCAGCAGATAGAACTCTCAAAAATTCTATTTTCTTTTTTAACTTTAAGATTTAATGTGATAGAATAAAAAACAAGGCAACTAGTTATTACCACTGTTTTAAATAATTAAATTGGATGCAATATATTTTTTCTGCTAGTTATGTCCAATTTTTTGATTTAGCCTTGTCCATGTTTGTGGTGTAAGATCTGGTAAAGAATATGTTGAAAACAGTGACGGTAATCAATAGGTCTCTTATACATTAGTACAGGAAGTAGAGGATTCGACGACTTCAGAAGACAAGTAAATTATCTGTGTTGTTTTCTCAGTTCTCAAGGACCAATCTGAGGTGTCCTGAGTCTCTTGTTCACCTGCAAAGTAATTATTTCTTTCCAAGATTGAAATATAGAGACAGCAGTTTTAAATCCATCTCAGTGATGGTATTCTCACAAATTAGCCTTGAGCAAATTTATCTGATATGCATTTTAGTGGTCTCTCAAATGAAAAATTGCTAAATCTTTCTTCATTAGAATGAATCCGTAAATCTTTCTTTTTCCCTCACTAAGAAAATCTTTTTTCCTGCTAGATTAGTTTGCCATGCTCATATATATCTGCAGTCAAAGTGCAGCAATTTGTGTATCTAATGCAGTTTAAATCAGGGAGAAACATGCTAAAATAAATTGACTAATCTCCAATATTTTCTGCATCTGACCAATCTGGATTGGTTTTTTTTCCCCCTTTTTATTTTGAAAAATCATAGGTGTGAAGCGTAGTCCTGAAGAGATGAATGATGGTGATATTGATGTGACTAGTACCTGTGGCCCTTATAACATTAATGCTTTGCAATATTCAGAAGAGGATTTTGAGAAACTGGTAAAACTGAGCCAGTACAACATCCAAAATAACAAAAGTACTTTGATTGATGCTTTACGGTTAGCCGTGGAACGGAAAAAACAGTATAAGAAGAGCCTTCATATACTGAGTTCTAAAACTTTTGGGGGAGAGGGCACCTCAGTTTTTCCTGCACCACAAAACAAAGCATTTCATTCCAGAAGGAAAGTAAGATAAAATAATAATAATAATAAAAAAATTTAAGATCCTGGCCATGAAGGAAAAAAAATGCTGCTTTTATGAAAATAAATACATTGTAAAACCTGAAATGCTGTTTTAATGAATTCTAGTTGTCTTTTGGCAACAGCGGCACAGTGGCAGAATAAAACATGGATACAGAACTTTCTACACTGATAAATTTGGAAGATCCTCTAAACAACCACAAAAAATGCCCTGTGAAAAATGTTGTTTTTACCTTGTAATGTTGATGTTTATAGATTTTATCCAAAAAACGGTTTTCTCTCTGAAACACTTCCATTTCTAATGTGATATGTATTTTTTTCTTTGTTTCTGTAACAAAGAAAGGTATGAAGAATATATGAGAATGTCTTTCCTAAAAGTTATTTTGGTCTGGTGCCATATGAGTGGTGAGAAACAATTTTTAAGAATCTAGCACCAGTTTTTGATAAATAAATAATGATGTCAGTTTAAAAGCATGCATATGGCAGGTGGCAACTGCAAACATGCTACTGGTTGGTTTTATTGGTTGGAATTATTTTCATGTTGCAACATTATAATTTGGGCTCTGTCCTTCCCTGCCAGCATACAAGCAACCAAAACTATCAAACATCAACCAATCATAAAGAGGGAGAGATATTTGCATATCATCCATGACTAGAGTAGAGTCATACTACATGCATTAAGTCAGGATTTGTTTATTCATGGTCAGATGAATAAATTATTCATAAACCTTACAAATCACAAAAACTATGTTCACATACTCCACTAAGCCAATATAACACACACACACAGACACACACACACAGACACACACACACACACACACAGGGCCTAGGAATATGTGTTTCCTCACTAAAGAGAGATAAGCTAATATCCATAGAAGTCACTTTTCCCAATATTAATAAAAAATAAAATTTAAAAAACGAAGTGCAAAGTTTCCTTTGTAAAACAATCCAGCATTGACATTTATGCAGAATTCATAGCCCGAATATTAACATTTTCAAAAGGTTCTATCAAACCATAGTAGAATACTCCCTCATTGCAGAATTAACAAATGTAAGTGTAAACCTTGCAGGTAGGCAGAGTGTAATAGTTTTCAGAAAAAACATATCAAAGCAAGAAAAACAAAGTTCTACAAGAAGCGTCTGTTCTAATCTCTGTTGACAAATTTTAAAAAGCTAAACACAAGACAGATTTTCACTTCCAATGGCTTGTATTATCTCTAATTTCGACTAGCTTATAATATCTTTAATTATAGGATTAATCTACCCTGCAACATTTTTCTTTCTTTTTTCTATTCTGGTTTCAGTAGTGCTGTCTTCTTTTTCTCTGTTGCTTAGCTAATTTCAGCAACTATCAAAATAATGGAAATGAATTGTAGCCACATAAGAGGGAAACACTTTATGAAACTAAAAGCAATTTTGGTGTGTTTCTGCTGCCAGTGGTGGGTGGAACATAAAACCTTCCCCTTCTCTTCACTGGGACTTCCTGGTTCTGATCAGAGAAGGAACTGAAAAGTGCTTTGCTTCTGGTGATTATAGAGTGATTTGTCCTTCCTTCACTGGAAGAAAATAGAAGTCATCTTACTTCCTTTTATGACTTGGGGAGGATGATTGTGTAAATCTTACAAGCAGCTCCTCTCTTTCCAAAATTTCCATGGGGAAGATAATTATGATAGGCTGTTACCATTTAGGCTGAACCCATTAACACTCCCTAATTTAGTCTTTCAACCGAGGGTGGTTCTCTTCAGCTGAACTCTAAGAAAAATGGAAGGAGCTTTGGATCTTCTCACCTAATGCAGCAATACAGACGGTACTAAATGTTAAACCAAAAAGTGTGCAAGCTCTGAAATTTTGCATATTGGGAGGATTGTAATGAGAATTTTCCTTCTAAAAACAATTAAGCCAAACTTCTAAAGAGAAAAAGTTTGTTGCAAAAAGGAATTGTGAGTGGATTGTTCTGAGATACTGGGAACAAAGTACATTGAGCACAAGCTTCTTCAGAACGTCCTTCCAGGGAGGAAGGGAAGAGTTTTTGGTGCTTCCTGACAGCTTTGCACAAGTAAATTCAATGGGGAAGCTGGCAGGAAATCGGAAGTTGCTCCTGCTCCCATAGTATTTTTGCCTACCCATGCTGATTCTGTTCTCCATTTAGTAAGGAGTATCTCTGATATGATGACCCAATGGATAATGGGTTGTCTAGTATATCTGAACTAGCATTTATATTACTCATTTGACCAGATATGTACTTGGGCTTTGGTTTACCTTGAAATGTGTTTGAATATTAGTTGAATTGAATATTTACTTAGCCCTTTCTGGCCCATTATGTTCTCCAATATTAATATGAGACCCAACTGTTATCTCTGTCAGGCTTTTTTTATCCACTTTGGAATTTCAGAGTCTACCTTCAAGCTATAAAGTATGGTTGCTACCACGTTTCAAATACCTCTAAGGAGAATGGCTGTATCAAGTTGAGTTCTTGGCAAAGTTTCAAGCACCAATATTGCTTAGTATGCCACTTGTTTAGGATCTAGTAAGCCTTGCTATCTTGTAGTAGCAGTAGCAACTATGGTTGATAAAGTTGCTCTATCATTTAGTTAATCATTTTTGCTCCTCCTACTAGTTCCTCACACACAAAAACTCTCAGCCAGCTCTTTTTACAGTATCTGTGACTTATCCTAGGCACATCCTTGAAAGAGCCAGAGTATAATTAAACCAGACTGCTCCAGATGCAATTGCATCCCTCCAAAGTTTGGACATAGCCAAATGGTCAACTAAAAATATTAATGTGGATGCCTGTGTGGTAAGACTGGGCTACCGAATCTGCTCCGTGAGAGCCAACATCATTCCTGGAAGATCCAAAATGGTTTTGCTATTCAAGGCTCATTTGTGGGAAAGGGTTTGTGCCTTGGCAAAGCTGCTTGGTTCTAATGTTTATTGGGTGGGTGATGGGAAATTAGGTAGGGCTTATCAGGCCACTGTAACACTGACTTTTTGGAGCAAAAAGGACCATTTGGGTTGATAGCAGCTGTGCTCGTCAGGCACTTTCACCCAAGCCTTTTAGAAAAAACAACAACACAGAGATGCTGTTTGAACTGACGTCAGCCATGTTCTTTTCTCTCAGTCTAAATAAACCACTTACATATTACATGCTTTAATAAAATACTGGATTTCAAAAGGCATCCAAGATTTATCATAGGACATGAATAGCAAGAGACTGTCCACCTTCGGTTTGGACATTTTTAGGCAGGCTCCGTTTGCTTCTTTCTTTTGTTCTGAACTTTTGTCCTCACAGATTTATATAGTAGAGAAAGTGAAGCCCAGCCTCTATTGGGGGCCTTTTGCTGAATCAAGCAACATATATTTCCAGTATATGGATGTAGCCACCAAATTAAGTCTAGTAAATAAGTACATAAGCAAGGCGCTCTACATGGGGCTGCCCTTGAAGAGCATCCAGAAGCTCCAGTTAGTGCAAAATGCAGCGGCCCGCATGGTTTTGTGCAGACCCCGGTATGCACATGTATCACCTCTCCTGCGGGAGCTGCATTGGCTGGCAATTTGTTTCAGGGTGCAATTCAAGATGCTGGTTGCCACCTTTAAAGCCATTCATGGCTTGGGACCAGGTTATCTGAGGGACCGTCTCTTGCCAGTCACATCTACACGGCCCATCAGAGCAGAGAAGCGGGGAATGTTGCAGGTCCCATCCCCTAGGGAGATACACCTGGTGGGACCCAAAAGAAGGGCCTTCCCGTGGTGGCTCCCTCTCTCTGGAACATCATTCCCCCAGAGATTAGAATGGCCCCAACTCTAACTCTCTTCTGGAAGGCACTGAAGACCTGGTTCTGCCAGCGGGCCTGGGGAACCCAGAGCGGGATGGAGCCCATTAAATGGCTCATATGATCTGCTGTCACCGGGGCGGGGGTGGGTGGGGCATGGGGGGTGATTTTATTATATTAATTTGTTGATCTTTTTTATTTAGTTTTATTGTTTTAAATGAGGTTTTATATTCTGTAAGACGCCTTGAATAGCCATGTCCGAATAGGCAGCAATATAAATTCAATCAATCAATCAATCAATCAATCAATCAATCAATAAATAAATAAATAAATAAATATGTGATCCTGTCACTGAATAGTAATAGCACTAGCTAGTTTCCACTTATTTTGCCAGTGTATAAAAAATGATACATGGGAAAAATTTTAAGGAAATAAATTCTTCCTATTTCGGCCTCTCTGCATAGATCCATTTATTAAATGCTTTAGGAAATATAATTTCACTGGTAAAAAAAAAAGTAAGTGGTTGTCTCTCTTCCCTTTCATCTCAGCAAAGATGATTATATGTTAACAAGGAGAGGAGAATAATGAATGGAAGTATGTAGACTGAGGTGGAGGCCCAACCCAAAGTATTGGAACCTAGAGGTTACACATTCCTAATGAATAGGTAGAAAACGCCACTGGCAGAGCCCTCAGCCTTTAAATTGGAAAGGTTTCATTTTCTGTAATTTTCATAAGGTGTGTTGCTTTTAGTAGTAATGAGCACTAACACGCTAACATTCATAACCATAGCTCATATTCCCTTTATAAAAATGCAGAGGAAATAAGGAAGCATTTTGTTTCCTTATATAGTATAGTAATAGTATTTTCTATGTGGAACAGTCTCTAGATATTCTAAACTAATGGGTTTAGAAGAGGCATAAAAAACTCCAGATTGTAAGCATACTATACAAATTATTGTAATGTCCTTAATATAATTATTTTAAACTCTTCAGAAGTGATGTTAAATATATGTAGCAAATTACCTAATATTGGGATCTAAACTGCCATGCTATACGGATCAAATTAAGTTGTGTTTACAATATCTACTTTACCCATGAGTATAGATCAGAGGTGTCAAAACTCACAGCCCAAGGGCCGGATGCATCACGCATTGGCCATGCCCACCCCTGGTTTAGCAAAAGGGAAAAAAGTCATGATACGTCACATAATGACGTGATGTCGTGAGTTTGACACCCGTGGTATAGATTAACCATTGATATATTCACCTATAAACTAAGTACAGGCCCAGGGTCACACAAAAAAGTGACAAAAATATACATTAAAGTTAACAAAAATTAAAGTTACAAATAAGTCTGTGAATTACAGAAACATAGGCATGCACACAGAATTGACAAGAGACATGAATAATAGTTTAATAATTATTGAAGCCACAGTAAAATTCAAAATCAGGTCCACCTTACATGCCATAATTGCCAGTAACTGAAGATTAGCTATTAATCAAAGTGGACTATTCT